CTGAGCCCCCCACTTGGGTGGGAACCTGAGATACAGCGGCTGGAAGCAGGATCCTCAGGCCAGTGGAGAGCAGCCTCTGGGTGTGGAATGGAAAGATGGTCACCGCCTGCAGAAGGCCGCAGGAAGGGAGGCTGGGAGCCGGTCACCTCCTGCTGAGACGGACTCGGCCCTGAGGAGTGTTTCTGAGGATGTGGGGCCCGCTGCACCTGGCACAGGTGGGGCTCCCTGCACAGGGATCCCACCCTCCTGGGGACCCAAGGCCGTGGGTGGGCTGGGGACTGACTCACCTCCCTCCCAGGAGAGGATCCTGGGAGAAGCCCGGGCTTTTGCAGGACTGAGAACAGGAGCAGGTGGAAGCCCCGTCCAGCCCCATGGAGGGGGCCCTGGCTGCGTGCTCGGGACCTCCAGCAGGCAGGGGGCTTCCTCCCCTCCAGCTCCTCTGCCAAGCAGGCCCCAACCCAAGTCTAGGAGTTACTTTCTAGCGAGGACGGTGGGAAGGGGCCCCCGGTGCTGCTGGGCACTGGCAGGTTCTCAGGGGGCCGTCCATGGCAAGCCTGGGAAGGGGTACCTGGGGAAGCCGTGGGATTGAACTGCCTCTGGGACACTTCCGGGTGGGGTGCCCCCTCTAACTGAGCCACCGTTGGGCAGATCCTGAGGAGCTGCAGCCCAGCCCACCCTACTGACCTTGGTGTCCTGGGTCAGTGTCAGGAACATGGGGGATCGAGGGTCTGGTGCATAGAGACTGAGGACCAGGCCAAGTGAACCAGTGGTTGAGTTTTAGAATTTGGGGGCCTCTGACCCTGCAGGGACCTTGGGACTCTGGTGGCTACACTACGGCTGGAGGGCTAAGGGGAAGGGGGAGCACAGGGGTCCTTCAGCTGATTCTGCAATCTGCAGCAGCCTGAGGTGGGCAAGTGGCCTCCTGTGGCCGCTGCATGGGGAGGGGGTCCAGAGAGGTGGGAGGAGAGGGGACTGCAGGCCAGCACTGAGGACAGCGTCTGTCCCCCTGTGGGTACCCACGGGACACCTGCCCCGCCCGCCTGCCAACCCCAGTCCACTTCCTGGGTGAAGCAAGCCGTTTCTCCCTGGAGGTACCCACCCTCTCTGCCTGGGCAGCCACCACCCCTTCCTGCCCGGGTCTCAGGCAGGCTGACGCTGAGCCCCGCAAGCTCGCTCCTGCTGAAAGAGCAAGAAGGGGAAATGCCTCTAAACCAGTCACTGGGCAGAGCCTGGGCTTCTGACAGAAGACTGGGAGGACTCTGGGAGGGGAGGGGACGGGCGGCTGCCTGCGCTGGAGGCTGGGTAGGACCCTGGGGACACCTGGGGTCTGGTGGTCTGTGTCAGGCACCCTGTGTCTAAGCACTGGCAGGAGGTGGGCAGGAGAGAGGGGGTGGCGGCCAGAGCCCCAGACACTGCCCCAGGTTGCCACCACAGGGGACCCCGTCTGCCACCCACCTGCACCAAGACGGGGCTCCAGGGGAGACTTTCTATGCTAGCGCCCCTGGCTCGGGGTGGACGGGACCCCGTTATAGAAGCAAAGCAGAGTGGAGCCAGGAGCAGGACTCCCCAGTCCCCGCGTCCCCTGGTTGGCGCAGTCCTTGTGCTCTGGCCTACAGGGTGGGGGCAGGCACTCAGAACCCACGGTCTAGAAGACAGAGTGGACGGGACCCCAGGATGAGCAGCCCAGAGTGGCCCTCCTGATGGGCCTCATGGCAGGAACACCCTCAACCGCTAGCACCTTTGCCTGGGTCCCCACCCTGGAGAGCACAAAGAGCTGAATTTAAGCGCCCCTGGCGACCTGTCTTCCAAAGCCTTTATTTTCAACAAGACTCCACCCTTCCCCATCAAGGTCTTCCTTCAGTCACTCAGAATGCTCTTCCTGTCCCCTGTAGCTAGTGTCCAGACATTTCCAGTCCCCAGTTAGCCCCACCAGGGCTCTGACCACTACCCCAGAAGGGCTGCCTGGCCCTTGCTCTTTGCCAGGCTACTGTTGAATCTGAAAACTGCTAGACCCTGTGCTCACTTGGAGCTGCTGGGACCCTCTGTGTCTTTTTCTATGGAGTCTGTCGTACCCAGGAATAAGTGAGCTTGATCGGCACCTTGGTGAAGGCTTCCTGCTGTGTGGTGCTGCCGTGCCTCTGGCTGTTGAGGGCTTTGGGCATGCCCCTACTTCCCGAGGCAGCTGCTCTACCCAGCCTGGGACACGGTATTTATTTCAGAATCCAGACATGGACTTAAAAAAGCATTTAGTCATTCTCTGTAATGACACCAAATGTGAAGTGTCTCTCTTGTTCAGTGCTGAGCTCAAGGCTCCTGACCACAAGGCAGACTTGCTTTCCTACGCGGAGGCTGAGGCTCTTGCCCCAGGACCAGCGGCTGGCTGCTCTCCTGAGAGGCAGGGGAGGGTGGGCAGGGTGTGGACCAGGGGAGGGTGGGGGGTGTGTGGACCAGGGGGGAGGGGGGGGGGGGTGGACCAGGGGAGGGGGGGGGGTGTGTGGACCAGGGGAGAGTGGGGGGTGTGTGGACCAGGGGAGGGTGGGGGGGGTGTGGACCAGGGGAGAGTGGGGGGGGTGTGGACCAGGGGAGGGTGGGGGGGTGTGGACCAGGGGAGGGTGTGGGGGGTGTGGACCAGGGGAGGGTGTGGGGGGTGTGGACCAGGGGAGGGTGTGGGGGGTGTGGACCAGGGGAGGGTGGGTGTGGTGTGGACCAGGGGAGGGTGGGTGTGGGTGTGGACCAGGGGAGAGTGTGGGGGGGTGTGGACCAGGGGAGGGTGGGTGTGGTGTGGACCAGGGGAGGGTGGGGGGGGTGTGGACCAGGGGAGGGTGGGTGTGGTGTGGACCAGGGGAGGGTGGGGGGGGTGTGGACCAGGGGAGAGTGGGGGGGGGGGTGTGGACCCGGGGAGGGTGGGTGTGGTGTGGACCAGGGGAGGGTGGGGGTGGTGTGGACCAGGGGAGGGTGGGTGTGGTGTGGACCAGGGGAGGGTGGGGGGGTGTGTGGACCAGGGGAGAGTGGGGGGGGTGTGGACCAGGGGAGGGTGGGGGGGTGTGGACCAGGGGAGGGTGGGTGTGGTGTGGACCAGGGGAGGGTGGGGGGGGTGTGGACCAGGGGAGAGTGTGGGGGGGTGTGGACCAGGGGAGGGGGGGGTGTGGACCAGGGGAGGGTGTGTGGGGGGGTGGGGGGTGGAGGGCCATCCCTTCTGAAGCAGGGGATGTGGAGTCTGAAAGTCCACCATGTGGGCAGACAGGTGTCTTGGGGAGCACAGAGGGTGTGACAGTCCACGTCTCTGAAGTGGACATGGGGTGGGAGGAGGGCTCGCCACTGGAGAGGGGCTGGCTTGGGGTCTTCCTGCCCCGGGGAGGATGCTGAGGCCCCCTGCCTGGCAGGCAGAGCACAGCGAGGGCATGCTTAGGCACCAGGGCCAAAGCAGGGCAGAGCCAGACCTGCCCCCTCCGGGTTCCAACATGGGTCCCGGGGCAGAGACCCTGTGTGCTTCACACGGACCCTCCACCTTTGGATATTATGTTGGGTGGAAGGGGGAGGGACCCCAGTACAACAGGGCAGCACTGGCCATCTGGGACTCACCGGCGTCGAGGAAGTAAGGTGAAGGCGTTTCCTGCTCACCTGAGCCTTGGCCACCAGACTGGGGGTTCCGGGTTCACCCAGCCGAAGGCCTGGGGGCACGCGAGGCCTTGCTCAGAGGGTCTGCAGAAGTGTGTGCTCTTCCACCCAAGGAGCCATGCAGTCCCCACAGTGGATCCAACCCCTCTGGGACGCAGAGGCTCACCACCATGGACCAGCTGTGAGTGGACGACGGGGAGGAAGCCCAGGACAGGCGGGGTGCAATGTCCCCTGACTCGGGGAAGACCTCTGCGGCCGGTGGCAGTGTCAACCCTGAGTGCACAGAAGCCATCCTCTCCCAGGCACAGGGGAATCCCAAGAGTCTCAACCTGAAGCCTGGCTCTCGGGGTGGCTCGTCCCCTGGGCCCAGCATTGGTGACCACACGGCTGTTATTTATGTTAGAACTACAGCGGAAAAACAAGGCCTGGGGAAGGGCCCTTCTGGGCAGGGCAGGTCCAGACTGTGACCCCAGGTGGGGTCGAGATGGGCCTCACCCTCTGCAGGGCTGACTGGTGGGGGAGGGACCATCCCTTCCTGAGGACAAGCTGCCCGGCCCTGGGGCTGCACAGTGCTCCTGCATGATCAGCAGGGCACACGGTACCCAACTCCCCCAGGGACACACACTGCAGCAGATGCCTCCCCTGGGCGGGAACCATGCCCTGGTGCCCTCCTGCAGGCGACGGCACTGAGGACACTGCCGGGCATCCACCTGCCAACCTCAGGGGGCATGGGGAGGTCTAGGCCATGGCCAGGGAGACAGAAGGCCAGAGCCCTCGGACAAGTGGCCTGAACCTCAGGAGACCTCCCCATGGCCCCCAGGCCCCAGGAGAAGGGACTGAGACCAGCCCAGCTCTGGGAAGCCCTGCCACCCAGAGGGAGCCGAGGGCTGGAACCCTAGCTGGGGGGCTCCGCGGCCTCCCATCGTCCCAGTGCACAGGTCCCTGTGCCCAGCTCCCCAGGCTGGGGGGGGGGGGTCAGCAGGACGAGGGACCATGCTGATTCTCCCTCTAATTCCTGCCCAACTCGTTTGCCTCTTTAAAAACCTCCTAACTGCAGGCGCTTCCTGCAGTGGAGCCCCTGGCAGGGAGACGCTCCCTGAGACAGAGCCACCTCTGTGCTGCCAGGCCTGGCTGCCCTTCTTCCTCACTGTCCCCTGCAAGCCAAATGCTGTCCACTCAGGGCCCAGGGTGAGCCTGCCCAGAGCAGGGTCTGCTGGCCAGCCCCCAGCTCTGGTGACCCCAGTACCCCTCCCCGTCCCCACCTTGAAGAGCCAAGAGGCAGGACAGGTGGAAGTGTCCACAGGCCTTCCTGCCTCCTCTGCCCCACACCCAGGTCTCTCTCGCTACAGGCCCTGAGAGACCCGGGGCCTTGTGCCATGGACGCTGTCAACATGATTTTATTTCCTTTGCATTGGAATCCACGAAATTCAGGAGCGCGGAAGCGGCTGTGCCTAGCAGGGGTCATGGTCACCAGACCTGGCCTGAGTGGAAGGGGATTGTATTTAAAAAGCAAAACAGAACAAATCACTCGCCGAGACAACCCCATCTGTCAGTAGTGAGTGGTGGGAATTTCATGAAACCGCCCTTGAACAACAAGACTGTCCTCCCCACCCCAAAGCACTGAGAAAGGCTGGTCGTGCGGCTTTCCCTCGTTGAACTTGGATTCCACTTCCTACCTGGACATTCATCCTGATGCATCTCAAACACCAGGCAGCAGCAGGCTGTTTGCCCCTGCTCTGTTCTGGGAGGCCCCGGGACTCCCCTCTCCCGGTGGCTAAGCTCCAACCTGGGAGGCGGAGTCCTCAGGGGACTTCACAGCCCAGCGGGTGAGCGCCCAGGGCACGGCCTTCCCTGAAGAGCTCTGCGTGCAGGCGCACAGGCAGGAATGCCCACGCCCAACGGCCGATTTTCTTCCTGGCAGGAGTAGAGTTGTAGGAGTGACCTTTAGAGGAGGCACAGAAAGGTTGGCCCTCCGCAGAGGACACACAGCAAGGCGGAGGCGCAGGAGGGGCCACAGGTTTGCTGACTCCAAACCAGGGCAGAGTTCTTGTCCAGGGCATCAGCCCTGATGGTCAAGGCTGCTGAAGGCTTAGGTCAGTGGTCTCTTCCCTGAGTGGCTGGTGAGGCCTCTGGGCCATGGCGTACCATGCTCATGGCAGCTTCTACAGGAAAAGTCCCCACAGGTGAGGTGGCCCGGGCAGGTGTCCTTGTTCTCATCTAACAGGTGAAGAAACAGGCTGGGTGGGCAGAGGCCACCTGGCCAGGGAGGGGTGGTGGCAGTTCAAGGCCAGGCCCCTGCTCCGGGGAAGGGCGTTCACACAGCGCTACTCCCAGCCCTGGGGAGACTTGGGGGATTAGCTTTTAGGTCTGGAGCAGCCCCACAGGAAGGCCTGTGCAGCCAGCAAGATCCAGGCTGTCCCCGGGGCCCCTGGGATGGGGGGCCCAGGCGCAGGCCAGCCTCCTGGTGCCCTCCTCATGGCCCAGCTGAGCAGACACAAAGAAGATACTTCCTTCCCTCTGCCTGGTGGGCTCAGGGTGTCCCCACCTCCCCCAGCCTCTTGCAGGGGAACCGGGAGGCTTCTGCAGGAGGAAACCCGAGAGAGACCTAAAACCCTGCGGGCCACCCCAGCTATTTCTGCCAGAGGCGGTCAGCAGCTCAGGGGGACTTCACAGGAACAGATCCCCTGCCCCTGGCCCACAGTCCCTCATTTCCTTGTTGCCCCCATCTGTTCTCAGGGCCAACTGTCAAAGGCCTGAGCTGGGTGCCCCCTGCCCGCCTCGGCCCCAGGCTGACTTCACCCCAGCAGGGCTTGGCACAGGCTCTCAGGGGCAGCTCCAGGATGCGTCCCCCCCACCCCCACCCCCAGTTAAAAACCTCCCTCTGCCTCACGCTCCGGCTGTGGAGGGACCCGAGCTGATGGCCTCCAAGCCCACGTGTGCCATGTGACTGTCCTTCTGCATCAGGCCCTCCTCTTCAGCAAGAGGGCAGGGGCACATGACCCGATAGTCTCCCAAGCTGGCAGTTGGAACCTTCTGGAAAAGCTCGCTCTTTCCCAGCACCCGGGGAGGACCCCGTCAGGCCCAGGTGGCAGAGAAATACTCATCCTACACCACCCGCCATTCCCTGGGTGCACCCATCTCCCAACCTCCTGCCAGGTCCCTCTGCCCTGGGCGGACGAGTCGGAAGTCAGCTTTCCTGGGTGTCAGGTGGACAGTGCCAGCACAAGCACACCAAAGGTCCCTCTCCTCCCAGAGACCAGGACGACGCCATGCAACACTGTCAGCAGACGTGTAAGTGGCAGGGCCAACGAGGCGCCGACTTTATGCGCACACACGCCCGCCCACCGATAGCATTAAGTGTCATTTTAAAAAATGGGTTAAATAAGCGGCCTCGCGGAGGATGGCCATGGCGGGCTGATTACCCCCTATTTGCACGTCGTGGCGGTGGGAAGCTAGGAGTCTAATGACTGAATTATCACCCTAATGCCTTTTGCTGGCTGGGAATAATCCTGGGGTAACAGCTGCCGCAGGGCTGGGGCTGGTTTCCTCTAATTGCATCCAGATGAAGGGAGTGGAGCCAGGGCGGGGCTGCCCCTCCGTCCGCACACCCTGCTTCCTGGACCCTGGCTGCTCTGCAGAAGCAGATGACATTGAGGCCCAGGGGAGCAGAGTGGCACTTGGTCACCCTGAGGATGCAGCTGGTGCAGGTGGGTCAGGTCTTGGGGAGCTGGGGACTCAGGGGGAAGGCCTTCCACCTGGGACCTTCCACAGCGAGTGGAGACCTGGCCCTGCTCCACCTGCCCTCAAGACAGCAGCCCCAGGGCACGAGGCAGGGAGTAGCACAGGCGTGGGTGAGGGCACGGGCTCCCTCTCCCACCCCAGGGAGGGGGTGACCTGGAACAGTGTCGTTTGGACCAAGACTTTCTAGTGGTGGCAGGTAGACTGTGATGACAGTCCCATCCTGGGCCCCCTGAATCCCCAGGCTCCTGGACAGGTTGTGCAGAGGGAACACTAGCAGACAGAGTCCATTGACCCACCCCAGAAGGCCAGGTCTGGCCGCAGGACGGGGCAGACGTGTGGTCCTCCCTGGCCTGGACAGGTACTCACCCAGTCCTGCAGGGGCCTTCACCAGGGCTGACCTGCAGGAGGGAGGCAAGGGACCTGCCCTTGCACCTCGAGTGCCCTGCTGGAGCTTCGGAACCGATGGCCCCGGAGGTAAGCAAGCCAAGAGCAGGGCTGCCCAGCCTGACTGCCGACCCGCGGGCAGCGCGGTACCTGGGCGCAGCAGTTTAGGCCGATGATTTGGGGGGTTATCTGCTACACAGCACTCCTGTGGCAACGGAGAGCTGACAGGACTACCTGTGGGGCCTGGTTTCCAGAGGAGGGTTAGGAAGGATGGACCTGGTTAGCGCTACCCGTTTCCCTAGCGGACCAGGAGCCAACACAGACAGGCAACCCACTTTCCCCAGGAGCAAAACAGATGAGAAGTCCACTCCCCAGGCCCCCCGTGGCTGGACTGCAGTGGTTAACAGCTCAGGATCTGCACACTGGGGGCTCCAGTATGTTCTCCCCCAAAGGCTCTTGGAACAGAGGGACCGGGAACTTGTAAGTGCCTTGAAGAGGACTTGGGCTTATGGAGGGAAAAAAAGCTGAGAAGGGAGGGGGCTGGTGTCTTTCTAGGACTGGCACTGTCCAGCAGTGGCCACCCTTCAGCAAGGAGCTGTGGGCGGGAGGCAGCTCTGGGTGTGCGCTTCACAGAGGCACCCAACTCCTGGCGCCCATCACATAAGACATGGCTCTCCTGCAACGGCTGGGAGCTTCTGGTCACAGCCCATGTGCCCCGTTCTGTCCCAGGAGGGGCAGCCAAGACCCAGCCCTCGGAGGATGGAGCACAGGGGAAGAACTTGTCCCCACCCACCCCGCGGAGAGCCCGAATGCTCCTTGACTGCGGCTGCTCTTGGTCCACACTCACAGCAGGGTCCACGGGTCCTGCAGCGGGTCAAGAGGCTTCTGCTACTTCAGGTGCCTTGTCTTGGCTTTCTGTTAGTACACTCCCACCGCCTCTTCAGAGGACCTTGCAGGCACACGCACGTGCACACACACATACACACACACCTGCCAACCCGTTCAGCCCCCAGATGGCTGCTGGATCTGGTGAGACTGACTGTGAACAGTGCCAGGAGTCCTCAGGGGAAGACCCCAGCTTAGGGGCAGGTGTCCGACCCTGGTCCACCAGGCTCTGGCTCCGGCTCAGTCGGGCCCTTCCTCCCCACAGCCAGGATGCACAGCACTTAGGCAGCTGGCGCGAGAGACCCAGGTTGGACACTTGTTCTGAAATCGGAGGGCTTCCTGGCAGATGCCCTCAGACCAGCTCTGCAGCTGTGGCTGGGAAGGGGGAGGAGTGTGTCCAGCTCACTTGGAGAAGCCTGACGAGAAAGCGTCCAGTGTGCAGAGGCCTCTGGGCCTGCATGGGCCCCGCTGCCTGCACCCTTGGCACTGGGGTGGAAGCCTCCTCCTGTCCCTGCTGTCCCCTTTTCCAGGCAATGAGGAATTTCTGGGCTGTGCAGAATTCCCCCAGGCAGCCGGCGTGAGGCAGCTGCCCGGTCCCAGCTTCCGGAGCCGCCTGTCCTCTGGGAGGGTGGCAGGCCTTGCTGCTGTCATTTCCAGGCTCTGGCTGTTATTGGGGAAAAGGGCTCTTCATTTCGCCCACAGCCATCTTCCTTACACTTCTGCCATCCATCCCCCCGCCCCTCCCCCACGCCCAGGACCTCCTGCAAGGTCCCCTCAACCTGTCCAGTGCAGGGAGTCCCACCTATCTGCGGAAGCCAAAGCCTTCCCGAGGTGTCTTCGGGCCCCTCTTGCCTTCTCTTGGAGCTGGGGGTGAAGGCATCTCCACCGTGCCCCCGTAGGGACAGCCCTCGGAGCCTGGGTGGTGGCCGGCACACTCCACAGCGGGCATGTACCCACTGTCCCACATTCCCGTCCCACAGAGCTTGCATAGCTCATGCAGGCTGCAGGGGATCCGCGGCAAGAGGCGGAACTGGTACAGCAAGCTCCTGGCCTGCAGAGAGAGAGGATGGGGTCAGGGGACAGCCTGGTGGCCTGGGATCCCCATGGGAAGTTGAAGAATGACGTGGCCAGGGCCAATGCCTGTGGGCTCTGCCCACCGGCTCCCACCTAGCACCACACAGTGGTCTGGGTCTGCCACGGCTGCTGGAGACTCTGGCAGAAGTCACAGCCACAAGCTGTGAGGAAGCCCTCCGATTTCAGAGCTCCCAAGCTACCCAGCGAGGGAGAGCAAGGCCAAGGCTGCCCAGCCCTGCCCGGCCCAGCGCTGCAGGTGCAGATGGGCAGTGGGGTGGGGCTCTTGCTACAAGGGGCGGAGCTTCAAGAGCCAGGGAGGGAAGGGCTCACCTTCCTGAGCACCAGCTCTCCGTTCATGTGCATGGCCAGGTTTCCGAAGTGCAGGAGCATCTGGTCAGTGGCCAGCTGCTGCTCGATGACGTCGTCCCCGTAGATGGCCACGATGGCCACGCAGATGAAAAGGTGGAAGTAGTCCGTCTGGGGGAGACAGCAGAACTCTGACGGGCCCTGACTGGCCTGCCTGAAGGACAGGCCTCGTGCAGTGGGCAGAGGGACTCCAGGGGGAGGGCGTCTGCACTGGGGGCCTATTTGTGGGTTGTGGGGGTCTTGGCAAGCTGTGCAGGGGCCTTCATCCTCAGTTTCCCCACATGCAAGTCAGGTCTGTCAGCAGCCACACTCCTGGGCTGCTGCAGGACCCAGAGCAGCGACGCTTGTGCCGGGCATCCATGACTGTCAGTCTCTGGGTGGGCTTTCTGTGTGACATCCGTGATGGGGCAAAGAACCCTTCTTCCAAAGCCTGGACCCCAGAGCTCACTGTGACGTCCTATCCACAAACGTCCTGAGAGGAGCTGTGCACAGGCTGGGTCAGGGTCCTCCCCAGGTGCAAGCCAACCAACGGGCTGGTCTGCCCTGCTGTGGGCGTCCCGAGGCGCGCCCCAGAGACTGTGCTCCACTGCAGTCTGAGAAGCAGGTCCCAGGAGAGCAGTCCCTGGGACCTCTTGGAACACTGACCCAATCTCGATGTCCCAGCCCTCCTCTTGGAGGCCCACAGAGGGCCCCACTGCCCTCCTTTAAGGCAACCTGTCCTGGCTGGGACCATCCTGTGAGTGCTCCTGCCTGGGCACCTCAAGGAACCCCACCTTTGACACAGTGGCTCATTGAGACACAGGACGGACGGGAGCAGCAGAAAGTGCATGCGAGTCCCCTGACGCTGGTCACAGTTCCCCACAGAACCATCCCCAACCGGGCTGCTGGAGAGCTGTGCGTGGGCACAGGCCACAGCAGCAAACCTCACCCGGGCCTGCTCTGGGAGACGCCGCGCCCTGGGCCGCCCGGCCTCTTCCTCAGAGCTCCCTGCAGTGGTCTTGTTTTGGTTTGGGCTGGCCCTCTGGCAGCCACTCTGACTTTGGCTGGGGTGAGAGTCCCAGGAAGTGGACACCCAGCTTTGCTGGAGGAATGTGGGGAGTGGAAGGTGGAGCCTGGTCCACATGGGCTGGACGGCGGCACAGAGGGTCTCAGCTCTTGGGACAAGGTGTGGGGCAGGCCAGCCCACCGCACACTGCAGGGAAATGGGTGAGACTGTCCCCCAGGGGGACACTCAGGAATTAAAGGCATTGTCCGGCAGTGACCCCTGCCAGGGCTCACTCCTGGCTAATTAGCCTCCTCCACTCCACCCCTCCTGCCCAGCTAACCAGGGATTGTTCCAAAAGTGGCTACATTTACCCCAAGTCTGAAAGCCCTGTGGAATTACTTTGTGGGCTTTAAACAAATTGGCAGTCGGCTGGGGTGTGCAAACAGGCCAGGTCCCTGTCATCGCCACTGATCTCATCAGACCTGGGACACAGCACAGTGGTAAGAATCGGCCCTCTTCAGTGAGTGATGCTGAGGTCACTTGTAACACAAGGTAAAGGGCAGGGTGGGGTTTGCAGGCCATCCACGGTGCGCTTCCCCTTACTCGTGCAGGTGCTCCGTCCTGAGCTCTGTCCGCTCGTCCACCCATGTGGGCCAGGCACGCAGACCGGGGGTGGGCCGTGAGGAAGGTATAGACAGCTGGTGGCCCAACCTAGGTGTCTTCAGACTCCCGTGTGACCCCCCACCCGTGATGCCACTCAGGATGGGAACTGCTATTGCCACGTCTGGGGGTAGGTGCCCTGGACATCAGAGCTTGCGCCTCAGCAGAGGGCCGTCGCTCCTGAATGCATCCCAGTACTTCTGTAAAGGCTGGTGAATGCAGAGACTCTCCCATCCTCTCGCATCACCCATCTGTCCCTAACTCAGGCGCTAAAGCCACGTGACAGACTCCACCCTGTACTCAGAGGACAGTTGGTGGAGGAGATGCTGGTGATGGGGACAGCAAGTGGAGGCTAGGACATACCATCAGGGCTCTCGGGGGGTTGCTGGGGAAGCAGAGCCCCCCTTTCCCTGGGCCTGAACCTGTGGCTGAGCAGTCCCAGGGGGCGGGGTGGGACAGTGCTGTCCCAGCATGTGGGCACCAGCATCCTGGGCTGCGTGGGTTTCAGTTCCTGGTAGGGGCCTGCAGCCAGGCCCAGGACTAGGGAGCAGTGGGGCGTGGGGCGAGGCGGGGGAGCCCCCACCCTGCCAGGCGTGGGTGGCCACTCACCTGGTAGTGGGCCCAGCAGGCCTCCCAGATGCGCAAGGCCTCGGCCTCGGGGAACTCCCGCTTGAAGCAGAGCAGGAGCCAGCGGTGGCAGAAGAGCATCTGCAGTCCGTCCTCGCCCAGCGCGGCCAGGTGCTGGTAGAAGCGCGGGTGGGTCAGCCGCAGCAGCTCCCGCAGGTACAGCTGGGGGCGAGGCAGGAGCATGAGCCCGCCCCACCCTGCCCCGAAGCCCCTCCTCAGCCACCCCAACCTCAGTCTCTGCAAGACACACGTGTCTGCGGTCTGCTTAGTTCTTTCCGGCACTGGAATTGTGTTCGCGCCCGTCTTCGTCAACTTCTCCCAGACTTCAGACTGCCCTGGACGGAGGCCCTGGCGTGGCCCCAGACAAGGCATGGCATGGCACCCTGTGGCCTGGGAGCTGTCTCTGGGGGAACCATCTAGCCCCAGCCACGCTTAAGATCACCCTGTGACATGGGACCAGGTCAAGGCTATTTCTCTGACCCCAGGACTCGGCAGACTTCACTGACGCCACAGGAAAATCAATCTCCAGGAACTAATGGGTCCCCTGGCCCTGTGCTGCCCTGAGCCATCAGGGAGAGTGGCGTCAGACCCCGTGACTGCCTCCCAGGCTCTGCGGAGGCCTGACATCACAAGGGTGCAGGACTGTGCAGACCCAGCAGGCCTGGCAGGGGTCAGCTGCACGCTCGAGGGGATCTTGGTGGCCCGCACATGCCCTCCCCACACAAGTGGCCCATTGTTCTGCTGGAGAGGGCAGCTGGGGCTGTGGAGTGTAGGAGCCGAGTCCATCTCCACTCAGTGGCCCACAGCAGGGTCAAGGCCATGTGTACGTGACGCCCCAGCTGCCCCGGCCTCACACCCTCCTGGCTGCGCTCCTCAATCCCATCGCACCTCAGAGGCCCCTGCACGGCTGACCTGTAGGACGTGCTCCTTGGCCCACTTCAGCTCTGGGCTTCAGGAGCACATCATGTCCAGTGAGACCCGACCACTCAGCACAACTGTCCAGCTGAGCCTCCGGACACTCAGGGCCAGACTCCTGTGGGTGGAGATGACCCAGCCCAGGGGACCTGGGACACCTGCCTTCCTCCCTATCACAGGTCTTTTCTGTGTCCCCACATCCCATCCCTGGAGCCCAGTACTGTCTGCTCCATCTGTGGGCTTCCAGGCGGAGCTCCCTCCTGGACTGAGCACGAGAGGGCAACCAGCAGGTTCCTGGTCCACACTGGTGATGGGCAGTGAGAATGGCAGCTGGGAGCCCTAACTTGTCCTGGGCTGCACACCCACCTGCCAGACCCTGTCTGACCCAGCTTGACTCCTCCACTCCCCACCACTCAGTGCTTCCTGGTCTATACCAGGCCAGTCCTTTTCAGGAGGCCTTGGGGTTGGGGGACGTGCCAGCTGGGCCCCAGGAAAGGCCTGCTGTCCTGGGGTGAGAACTGCTGCTGGTTCTCAGGGTGGCACAAGGAGCCCTCCTGTCCCCAGCGCACCCAGGAGCCAGGGCTATGTGGTAGCAGCCGGGAGCCTGTCCGTGCAGCACAGGGCCTCCCTCCCCTGCCCTGCCCGCCGGGCTGTGTTGTCACATGCAGGAAGGGGACACTCCCCACAGCCCGCCCTGGACCTGCAGCCCTGTGAGCAGCATCTCTCCTGAAGGCCGTGGCCCTCTTTGGAGGCCCAGGGCCAAGTTGCCCATGTCCTAGCAGCAGCACCATCTGGCTTTCTGCTGCCCACCGACCCGTAACAGCAAAGCCACACATCACTGCCGAGACCCCTGGCAGCAAGAGGAGGTGGCAGTGTGCTCTCCAGCGCGCCCGGTGCAGGCTCACACACGCACACGTACAGCCCCGAGCCTCACCAGCTGTTTCTCCATGTCCTCGTCCCGAGGAGAGCTGACGAAGATTGTATTCTGCATCAAACCCACGAAGCACCAGAAGGTGTCTGACTCGTCCTGGACCTCGGTCAGGAGGGGTGCCACCAGGTCCGACATGCCCTGGGAGTAGCCAATGGCCGGGTTGTACACAGCGTAGTTCAGCAGGATCCTCCTGGCGAGGCAGCAGAGGGCAGGGTGGGCATGACCCATGCTGCCCCCACCTTACTGTTTCCTGCTGCCCAGGCTGGAGACCCTGCTGCACAGGCCTCCCCTTCACCTTGACCTCGGGAGGCAGTGTCTGGTGCAGGCCCTGGCAGCTCTGCGGCAACCTCAAGGGCTGAGCCTTGGACCACGACCAAACGGTCCTCGCTTTGCAAGAGGTAATGGCTTGAGTGAGCTGCTCACCAGGCCCAGAGCCCAGAGCAGGGGGTGAGGAAGAATGTGGGTCTGATTTCCCTAAGGCTTGAGTGCCTGTGACCAAAGGTGGGCTGGCAGACACGTTTTTATGGGCTGTTAATTGTGTGCAATTATTTGCCAGGCTGCAGCAGAATGTCCAAGATGCCAGCCTCTGGCTCTGTGTAGCTTTATCACAGGAGGACCACCCATCAGGAGGTGGAGGGGACGTGGGGAAAAGCCTGTCTGTGGTGGGCGGGTGGGAGCCAGGCATGAGCAGGTTTGGGGGTGCCCAGGGATTGGAGGCTCTGCTGGCACCCTGAGTGGATCCTGGGCTTCCTTGGGATGCTGTGGCTGTGGGTTTCCTGCTGAAGCAGCCCATGAATCTTTTGCTTGGGACCTTGACTTCATGAACCCTACAGAAAGCCTCCTCTGGTCGTGTCCCCTGTTCAGAGATCAGCTGAGGCTCAGAGAACAGGGGGGGCCACCATTTGCAGATAAGGGAGGGCTGGATGGGGCCTTGGCCTGCCCAGGAGCCAGGTACCTCATGCTCTCCACGTTCGGATTGTCTTCCCCACGGAAGAACTCGTTGCTCCGATCTGTCCGAACCACGTCTTTGTCCACGGTGAACTGCACGTTACGCCAGAATGCTCCCCGCTCCTCAGGAGTCATGGAGAGCCTGGGGCAGGGGTGAGTAGTAGATGAGGTCCAGCAGCCCATGTGCCCCAGTCAGGCCTCCCCTCCATCCTGCTGCAGGGAGGGCTGGGTTGCTTTGGGCAGTAAACCCTGTAGCTCCGGCAGTCATGGGTGGTGGCACGTCCAAAGCTTTCCCCTTGGTGGGTTCTAGCCCCCAGAGGGAGCTGAGCACAACCCACAGGGAACAGGGCTTCGCCCAGGCCCAGCCCCACAGGGGAGCTGACAGCAGTCCCAGGGGCAACAGAGCCCAAGCTCTGGCTTTGTTCCCTGCAGGTGCTGCTCCAACCAGCCAGCAGCTGGGGTCACCAGCACCCATTCAGACTGTTGAAGGAGAGCTGGGACATCTTGACCTGAGAGCTCACGTCTGCACTTCCCACCAGGTCCTCAGCTTGGGAGACCCATGTTTGAAAGGAGGCACACTGTGCCTGCCTAATGGCACCTCAACTGCCTCCAAAGGACATGGGCCGGGCGGCAGTCACCTCTTCTGCTGGATTTCCAGGTATTCCTTCCTCTTCTGCACCCGCAGCGCCTCCCGCTCCTCCGACGTGGACTCGTGGCTGTAATAGCGCAGCAGGAAGGGCCAGACCTCCCCGCGGATTGACACATCAATGCCGCCGAAGAAAATGGCCTGGAGGAAGCGGCCAAAGTTGGGGGGGGGCGTGCAAGAGGGCAGCTCAAAGAACCCCAAATCCCCAGGGAAGGGTGTTCTGGTGGCTCCCCGGCAATTTGCACATGTTCACCAGGGGACAGCGCGGGCCCTGCGTTCCCATACAGGACACAAACCCGCTCATTTCAATGTCAATGCCCCCCCGGGGCGCGCTCCGATTGACGTGCGGTTCTCACGTCGCGGCCTAATCCCCGGGTTTGGAAAGGCCGCCTTTCAGCGCGCGGCCCTCTGTGCAGGCTGACACGGATCCCGGCCGCTCGGATTGTTCCTGCGCCTCGGCTTTGATCGCTTGGCCGCGCACTGGCCGCACTGGCCGCGAACCTCGCTCGGGGCGGACCCGGAGGCGCGCCCGCCCACCCGCCCTCCGGCGCCGCCGCGCTCACCTGGCGCTGCCCTCCCCGCGCCGCCCTCACCTGGCGCAGCTTGTACATCTCCTCCACCTGGCCCAGCTCGTTTAGGTGCTGCAGCCAGGCGGGCACGTCCAGCCGGCGGTACAGGCTCTCCTCGGGGTGCGCCTCGCAGGACGGCAGCTTGGGCCGCCGGATGGAGAACTGCACGCACGTCCTCTCGCTGGCGACCTGCTGGACGGGAGGGAAACTGGGCAAAGATAAGGGTCTCCAGGCGACTTTGGAGGCCAGCGAGGCGGTTCCCAGGATTTAAAAGGCTCTCTGTTCTGGGCGAGGGGGAGCGCTGCCCGGCACACAGGCCCCTAAATGGCAAGTGTAATTAGACGCGATTAAAATGGAAATACCTTCGCCCTGCACCCGGTCCCTGTGCTGCCCCCGGCTCCCTGCGACCCCACCGCCGAGAGCGGAATGAATGCGCGGCCGCCTCGCTCCCCTCCGCGGAGGCCGCGATAAATCACATGTGATTGGCCACATACAAAGGCCGCGCTGTTCCGCGCAGGGCCGGCCTGTCGGACCGTCTCAGCGCAGCCAGGAATCCAGGCGAAACTGCAGCTGACATTTAATTCAGAAATCAAAGGTTGTTCAATGCGGGGGAAACCGCCCAGCGCCGGCCTCGGAGCCAGCGGGAGGCTCTGTGGGAAGGAGGCTCTAGAGTCAGCCCCGTTTCTAATAAGCACATGCGGTACCTTAAACAGATAATTAAAGGGCTCTCATTACAGTCCTATGTAGATGGAGCAAAATATGGCAGGCGTCTTGTCAAAACATGATGTCTCAAGTGCAGAGCGCTGACTTTCAAAAAGCCCGGGCACTGACTGCTTCAAGCCCCAAGTGCAGTGCTGTCACCAGCCAGCCACCACAGACAGCCCCAGGCCACCAGGGGCCACACCCTGGGAGTCCGAGGTGCACTGGGGAAGGTCTGGGCCCTCGGGAGGGCAGGGAGGGTCCAGTGGCGGCCCCTAGCGTGTGGGGCCTGTGGGGCAGGCTGACGGGCTACCTGGTCCTCGAGGTGGGACTCGGTGCAGAACTTCCACTGCTGGAACACCTCGCACAGCTTGTCCAGGCCACCGTGGTGGAAGTGCAGCACCTTGTACTGGCTCTCTCGGCTGGCCACGACCAGCTGGCCACTGGTGCAGGCCTCGTCACTGAAGGGACATGGGGCGGGGATAGAAAGCCCGATGAATATGCAAACGCTGGTTTTCATTTCCAAGTATAATCAGGCAGTCGCTGGAGTCCTGCGGCAGGTAGAGGGCAGCAGCCACACCCAGCAAACCCAGGAACCTGGGCACCCCCCAAGGCAGAACAGCCCCTCCTGGGCAGCCTGCTCGAAGGGTGTCCTGCCTGGCCACATGGTCCCGTCTGTCCAGGGGCCTGGGGGTGGACACCTGTGGAGCCTGCTGGGGGACACTGAGAGGCTTCCTCTGGGGGAACCCCAGACACTGGCCACACCCATCAGTGTCCCAGCTCACCTGGCCACCCTCAGATAAAGGCTGGGGCACGCTCTGGTTGCGGGGCCCTCGGGGACAAGCTTGCTGCTGTCTGCACAGCCTCTCATTGGTGCTGCGTGGCAGCCATAGGGGCTGCAGGCAGGCGGCCAGGGACCCTCGGGCCCACCAGAAGGAAAGGGCAGCTCTGTCAAGAAGGCTGCATCCCCCACGCTGCCCTTGAGGCAGAGCCAGGTGGAGAGGACAGTGACGGCCACTCTGCACAGCACCTTTGCTTGGTCTCTTCTCTAGGCCAGAGTCTGAGTGACGGCTACCTTCTCCCTCCCCAAGGGCAGAGTTAGCCAGGGCCAGAAGGGCTGGGACAGCCCAGCCCCCAGAAGGCGTCCAACGGGTCCTCACCTGAAGAAAAGCCGCAGGGAGCGCATGTGGCCCAGGTCCACGCGGAACACGCCGCAGATCTGCTCGGGGGCACAGCCCCGCTGAGCCTCGTCCCAGCGCGAGGTCTGTAGGAGGCCATTGCTGTCCAGGAAGCGCAGGGTGGTGTCCGAGCTGGAGGGGGAGCTGGCAGAGCAGGCCACGTGAGGGCCAGGGCGCAGGGGTGTGGGGAGACCACCATGTGCTCTGGGCCTCGACACAGACACAACCCAGCCTGCCCCGCTGGGGCAGACAGCTGTCAGAGCTAGTGAGTGAGTCCTGCTCTGGTCACGCACACCTGCGCTTTAATCAGGGTGGGAAAAGGTCTTCATGATCAGACCCTGCTCCACTTCAACAGTGGTTACAATGACAGACAAGGCCACCATGACTGGAGTTAGGATCCTTGCTGTGTGACCTCATGCACGTTACCAGGCTTCTCTGAGCCTTGGCTTCCACACTTGCAAAGTGAGGACAGTTACCAGGCTCTGTGTGGAATAAGCAACTGTAAAGTGCTCAGCACAGGCCTCGTCCTCGCACTTAAGAAGAGTAGCTGTTTGGCAACATTTTTAGGCAGAGTGGGGCTTCCACATGGGTTTCAAGTGGCTATATTTCTGAATAAGCACAGATTGGCAAGAAATCACTTCTGTTATTAACACCACTAATACAGCAAGCATTATTAAACTCCTGTATGGCCTGGGCCTGGGCTAACCCCTTCTCATGTGCTTTTATTGCCTACAATTCTCACCATCAGCCTATGAAACTGAGCAATGCTATCACCCCATGGTACAGAAGAGGAAACTAAGGCCCAGAGAGGACAGCAACTCGCCCAAAGCTGCACAGCCAGCGAGTGGTGGGGCTGAGATCAGCTTCATGGCTCAGTTCTCAGGGCCCATTTCACAGCTGCTAAGTCTGCGGCCCAGCAGCCCAGCTCCTCTGTTCTAGGTACCCTTGCCAGTGGTTATCACGTGAATTCAGCCATACCACGGTCACATCCTGCCTCCTGAGACCTCAGCATCACCAGCCAATGCCTGCTCAAATGCGACCTGAGCCAAGGGAGGGTGGGTCTGGGTCCCAGGCTCTGCCCCACACTGGTAGGGCAGCAGCCCGGGCCTGCTGTCCTGCTGGAGCCCAGGACACAGTGGGACTGAGGCGCCTGGTCCACGCCCTCCTCTCCAGCCTCCCTCGGAGAGGGGCCTTTGGGCCCTTGGCTGCCTCCAGAACAGCACCAGGCGCTGTCCCTTCCCTGTGGGCAGCAGTGAGGGAGTGTCCTCCACCTCGGGCGCGGGGGCTTCCTCCTGGGCCTGGAGGTCACAGGCGCAGGTACAGCCCATTGCAGATGGCGGGTCGGCAGCAGCCTGAACCACCTCGGGCACAGGCCACGAGGCCCCAAGGGCTGAGGCATTGGCCTGTCCTCCCCAGTGGACCCTGACGGGTCGCAATGTGAAGTCATTGTGCTCAGAACAAGGCGGGTGGGAGGACAGAGCCGGCCCCCCACCAGGCCCGCATGCGGCCTTCCTAAGCTGCTTAGGGAACAAGGCGGCTGGTGGCCAGAGCTGGTGCTGAGAGAGCGTCCAGCGGCCCCAGCCCCCACCCTCTCACCACCACCCAAACACACCATCCGACCCCCCCAGGTCTGCACGCCCCTCTCCTCTCTGCACACTGTCCTGCTGCCCTGCCCTGCTGGTCCCCCAGGGAGAGCACGATTCCCAACCAGAAGAGAGCCCCAGAGGGGCCACCCCACCTCCCCGCAGCTGCCTCAGGCAGAAGTCTGCCTAAACCCGTCACAACTCCTGAGGGGGAGACTGTTTGCATCAATTAATGGACCGATTCATTAAGTCAAGACACTGTGCTTGGGACCTACAGCTGGGGGCCAGGGGCTCAACTGGAGCAAAGTTGACAGAAGCCTTAGTTCCCTGGGACCTGGGACCTGTGTTGGCAGATGCCACCTTGCTCAGCATCCACGAGCAGCCTGTCCCCCCCCCCCCCCCCCCCCCGTGGGCTGCACGGGCTGGGGGCGGCCACCCCAGCTCCCAGCAGAGGCTCGACACAGAACCTACGTCATTGAATACTCAGACCTGAGTGAAAACAGAAAATGTCTGGGAACTCAGAAGTCATTGGGAAAAAAAAAGCTTTAAAGGAAATAAAACCTGGGATGGAAATATGTTCAGTTTTTTATGATCTTTCTACATATGTGAAGCAATTTGGTTTTAGGAATATTCATATGTGCTGCATATCATCTGGCTTGTTCATAAAATTATTATGTGTGATGCATTAAAATTAAAACGATGGTTTATTCAGCAATTCCTCCCAGGCTGCTCTGAAGGGCAGAGGGAGAAGACGGGGCAGTGAGTGCAGACTGAGCACCTCCACCACAGAGGGGAGGCCCCGGAGCACCTCCCGGGGTGAAGGGCCGGGGATCTTGCTCACAGTAGGACCATGCAGTGCACATAGGCTCGCGTCTGCAGCTGGCTACCAAGAGTGGCACCTGTCACCCCTGGATCCAGTCAGGCCCTGCTCCTTGAGAGAGAACGTGGCAGAGGGTTGCTATGTAGGTCCCAGAGCCCAGGCTTGGAAAGGCCTGGCAGCTACTGCAGGGCCCCCTCACCCAACCAGGCACAAAGCGAGAGCCCAGGAGCAGAACCCACTCGCTGACAGGCAGGCCCCCGCCAGCAGAGCCCCGACAGCCGCAGCTCCTGGGGCTACCCCCTAGGAGCCCAGCACATGGCCAGTCTGAGGCTGGCCCACCCCAAAGAGCTGTGGGCAAAGCCAGGGTGATTGGGGACATTTGTTATGCAGCAATAGGTGACTGACACATACAGGAAGTGTCTGTTTCCAGAAAAAGCCTCCAGACCTACAGCGGTGGCTCTCGAGGTCAGAGGCACCAGGGACGGGTGTTAACATGATTTAAATATCCAAACCTCTACGCGTGCTCTTGCTTTCCTTCCATCCTGAGGCTTGGAGTTGACTGAAAGAGAAGCCCCTGGCCCCCAGCTGTAGGTCCCAAGCACAGTGTCTTGACTTAATGAATCGGTCCATTAATTGATGCAAACAGTCTCCCCCTCAGGAGTTGTGACGGGTTTAGGCAGACTTTTCTGCCTGAGGCAGCTGCGGGGAGGTGGGGTGGCCCCTCTGGGGCTCTCTTCTGGTTGGGACTCGTGCTCTCCCTGGGGGACCAGCAGGGCCGGCCGCCAGGACTAGCCTGGCTGTCCTCCATCTGGCTCAAGGGAACCCTGGCCTGGCCTGCGGGTGAGCAGGACACAGGGTGCTGGGAGGGGCGTGCGGGCCCTGGAGGAGCGTTTGATGTGATGGAGAGAAGGGTGGGACACGGAGCCTGGGAATGATGCCACCCTTTGGTGGCCCCTCATAAGTGTCAAAACCTAGAAGCATCCAAGATGTCCTTTGAAACGTGAACTCATGCAAATATAAATAAAGGACACTGTGTCCAGACAAGAGTCACCGCCCAAAGAAGTAAGCTGTCGAGCCACGAGAACACAGGGGACACGCTTGGATTCCTGTCACCAAGTCCAACCTGGGTGGCAGGGCTCAGGGGAAGGCGTGCAGGGCGTGACACGGGATTCAGGGCGATAAGGTGGGCTGCCTGTGCCACCCGCCGTGGGTACATGACCCTCCAGTGTGAACCTGAACTCGGGGTGACGATGACGGGCCAGCACAACTCACTGTACCAAAAGTGCCACTCTGGTGGGGCATTATGCCGGGTAGACTGAGCGTGCGTGGGCCCGGGGCCCAAGCGGGTCTCCACTGTCCAGCCAACTTTGCCGTGAACCTGACACTGCTCTACAAGACAGTCCACCACTAAACACAGCCACGGGGAGAGTCGAAGGCCACAGGACCTCAGAACACACGCGGGGTGTGACCAAGATGAGCCGTGAACACAAGAGCCGTCATCAGAAAGCAGCAGAGGAGAGGCGGCCAAGGAGAGGAGAAGAGCTTCCCAGAGCGCAGACAGTAAAGTGCCCACGTCTGTGGCAAGGGGGGACCCATCGCAGCGGGACACGACACCACCAGGGAGGCTTTGAGGTCAGCAGCCGCTCTGAGACCACAGACTCTGTGCAGCGAGGACTGGGGGGTCAGCCTTCCACAACGGCAAACTGGCCCGGTCCTTGGAACGGCAATTTGGAAATCGGATGCAAAAGGCTTAAAAACATTCATGCATTTTATTTATTTATTTTACACAAATGGAGCACAACTTTTCATTTCTCTGGTTGTACATGAGGTGGAGTCACACCACTGTGCAATCAGACCATTCATTCATGCATTTTACCACTTGACTTCCTTAAAAAAAAAAAACCACTGCATTTTAATTATACAGAATAGTGGATTGCATTGTGTTGACCCTTTAATTTCTAGGAGTAAATCCAAAGAAAAGAGTGAAAGATGCCCACAAAAAATACATGAATCGACACAGAAAAAGCAACAGATAAAGACCCAATGCTCAATCATGATAAAAGCCAGGAGTCACAGAGACCCTCCCCAACTTAATAAAGGACACCCACAGACTCCGCTGCTAACGTCACCCTTGGTGGTGGAGGCCTGAGTTGCTCCCCGACCAGGGATGAGCTAACCATGCCTGCTGTCACCGCCTCTCGTTGGTGCTGCGGGCAGGACAGGAAAAGGAAGGAGAGTCACAGGGATTGGAAGAGGAGGTCAGCTCTCTCTTTTCAGATATGACTGTTTTAAGTTAAAAAAATCCCAGGGGAGGGCTGGGCTGGGGCTCAGTGTGGAGCACTCGCCTCGCATGCATGAGGCACTGGATTCGATCCTCAGCACCACATAAAAATAAATAAACAAAATAAAGGCATGGTGTCCACCATATAATATATATATACATATATATATATATATATATATATATATATATATATATATATATATATATCTCCCAGGGGGATCATGAAACAACTTTTAGAATCAATGAATGAATCTGGTAAAATTATAGTTGAATGTTTTTAATATAGAAAAAAATTAGTTGTAAAATTGTTAAATTACCAATACACAACTAGAAAAATAAAATAAATACAAAACATTCAAATTATAGTAGGGAAAAAAACACACGAAATATTTAGAAACAAGTTTAACAAAAGATATTCAAAGCTAGGCCCAGTATCGCACACCTGTAACCCCAGCAA